TTATAATCGAATTCATCTCATTTTTCAGATCACAAGGAAGGCAATCAAAAAAAGATTTGAAGTCAGCTTCACTGGATGTAGCGTCACAGAGTTTTAAAGACGTCATTGAGAAGGGCAGACGAAAAGGCGTGAAGCCCAACTTCTATTGACACTTAAAACTCACTTTACCAATTATTGTATTAAAATGCTGTTTAATTTAGGCTTAAAGTAAAATTACATATATAAATTTTTGTTTTGTATAATTAAGATAATGTGTATGATTTGACTTATCCCATCACGCTGCTTTTCCCATTTATGGCGTTGCATACCCATACTCCTGGACACTTGAAACAGAGTAATAAGAGGCATAAGGGTGAAAAAAAATCCTTGAAGGTCCAGAATAAAAAATTGCGTTACCGAAAACATGATAAAATATTATCTAAAAATGAGCGCAAGCTTAAGTCAAAACAACTCCGGGATGCCCGGACCTCTCTGGTAAAATTAGATTTGCCCGAATATTTGCTAGGTTAAAAACTTGCTCACTTCTAAGGGTGATTACGGGACACCACCTCTATTGTGCGTACTTATTCCACTTTCTGAAAGCGTTGATACGGAATTAGCAAAGCATCTTCTTTACAAATGTGATAGTAGCTCCGTGCCATTCAATCCATTTAAGGATGAACCTTTTTCGATTAGTAGATATCCTTTGTATCTAGATTCGAAACGCCTTAAAAAGCGACTTTGTCTGGTAACCGGGCGATATAATGATTTATTCGAATGTATTGATCTCACTCATGTAGCAGATTGGGTGATTTTTATCCTGCCTAGGGACGTTGATGAGTTGAGGTCCGCATATTGTGAACAGCTTCTGACTTCATTATACAGTACTGGTCTTCCTGCCCATTGTTTTACAGTTCTTTCCAATCAATGCTGCACTAAATCACTCAAGAAATTTCTGGAGGTAACCTCGACTTTTATCATGAAACATTTTGTTATTTTTGTCATTTTTTAAAGTTAAAATGTACCTGAAATAGGACCAAATTACTTTTTTCACGCAATCTATGTTTCCTTC